GGCTCTGGCGAATTGAGCAACTCTCCCTAAATTTCAACAAAATACAGCTCACGTCACGTCTTAGGGATCTTTATGAGTACAGGAAAAAACAAAAATACTGTAAATATATGAAGTATATTTGCAGGACAGTTCTCGGATGCCATGAAAATTAGGGGAAAATGATCAACAATGATAAACAACAATCATCTGAGTCTTCCTCTAGTTCAGCTTCAGTTTTTTCACCCACCTCGGGTGTCCACTTTTGCAACTTCCTAGTCAAGCTCCTAGGTTATGTGTATCTTCGGAAATAAATATGACTTACTTGTGAATAAAATGGATTATCTTATAACTTTATTAGTTGTTTGTTATCCAACATCAAGTACATCTTATTCTTATAAAAAACCAAGTTACTCAATTGTATGTGAACTCGGGGCCAGAATATCTATACCGGTACATACCTAAATCAAATAATTGCTATAGCATTGGCAATCCTTAGAGTAAGTACCGGTACTATATAAGTGCATTTATGTCCTGTTACTACAAAAAAATTGTATACGCGTATAGGGTCTCTCCGTTTTTTACTCTTTAAAAAATGTCCTGGAATTTTGTACTTTCTCCTGGAAAACTCCTGGAAAACTCCTGGAATTTGTTTTTAGATTTGGTGCAGGAACCCTGATTTCAATGTGTTTCCATGGTGTCTAAATCTCTGTTCTTAAATTTTGTCAAACTGATACATTTGATTTAAATGATGTTAAATATCTAGTAGTTTAAGAGTAAATTCAGAAACATCTGTTTACTTCATTCACTATTTCCATCTGTTGTGACTGCTGAAATAAACAAACTGCAAATACAGTGTTTTAAGTTTAACTTCAAATTTTCTTCCCAAGTATTTGTTCAATGTGTTTTTGTTTCATGTTCTTTGATTGTTCAATTTGTTTTGACCAAGTTATCTTGATCCACTTTGAATCTTTGTATTCTATTTCTTTCAATACTAGTCCATAGAGAAGTCTCACTAATCACTGGAACTTTAGGTAACTCAACTATTCATGAATTAGTCATGTTATGTGGAGAGCTGATGGTGTCACCATCGGTTTACATATAAGACATTGCAGAATAAATGAATGGTTTGATCACATTGAACTTCAGCATAAACCACCATCTATAATAATAAGTGGATCTTTCTTCTCTCTCCCCCCCCCCTTTTCTACACACCAAATGCACATAAAGGACACATTCATTACCCCCATGCTGTGTGCAGTGTAGGGTTTGCAAAAGTCAAGGGGTATTCATCCTTTGATGGTAAATATATTTGGAGCCCCATCTAGAATTTTTATTATTGATAGATTATCCACCTCTTCCCATAGGAATGATATGTAGTGAAATATCAAGTACAACAATTAAGATATAGGCCCTAGATCATTGAAATATTTCATCATTCTTTCAACAAGACTCTAACAATGAGGCAAGAAAAGGGAACACTCAAGAAATGACTTATGTCAGTCACAAAGATTATGTCCTTTATATCAGTCACAAAAATTACGTATTTTACGTCAGTCACAAAAATTATGTACTTTACATCAGTCACAAAAATTACGTACTTTACGTCAGTCACAAAAATTACGTACTTTATGAGTTCTTAAAGTAAAAGGCTAACATGTTTCCTATGTTGATCTGAATTTTGGCTATTTTTAGACTTCACCACTTCTCTCTGATTATTGTTAGATTAATCATCATACTAATATATTATAATCTTTGTAATATTTCATACTATGTTTTATGAATCTTGCATTTCTGTTAATGTTACATTCCTTGACTCACAATCTAAAACCATTTTTAGAAAGATTAAATCAATTTGTTATGTTAGATTTGACATGTTGGACAACTAATATGTAATGTTAGATTTGCAATTTTGGACAACCAGTTTGTAATGTTAGATTTGCAATGTTGGACAACCAGTTTGTAATGTTAGATTTGAAATGTTTGATGGTCAGTATGTAATCTTAGAATTGAAATGTTGGACAATCAGTATGTAATCTTAGATTTGAAATGTTGGACAAGAAATAAGGAATGTTACATTTGAAATGTTGGACAACCAATATGGAATGTTAAATTTGAAATGTTGGACTACCAGTAGATAATCTTAGATTTGAAATGTTGGACAACCAATATGTAATGTTTGATTTGAAATGTTGGAAAGTCCCCCAAGAATGAAACATGAAACTCGACTTCTGGATGAAATGTTGAACTTCCCAAAAGGCATTATGAAATATAACTGACTGAGGCATTACAAGGCTGGTTAAGGCTAGGAAGTAATATAGAACTACTTAATAACTACTTAGACTCTATTCATCAATTCTATTATAAGCTTGGATATGATTTATCACCATATTTTACCTGGATATATCAGTCAAATGTGCCCGTATAAAAGGCATCTTTTGTTCATATAATTTGTTTACATTCAGTTCAGTGATGCTCTCCTTGTCTTGTTCTATTACATTTATGACATGTCGTTATTCCACGACCTGTATGGCCGATTCTGACATGAACAGTTGGTCTTCATTCTACTTGTCCAATATGGTGTTGTTGTATTCCTTACTCTTACTCTTATGATTGTGCCTTTAAACCAGCTTGTCTTTAAATATGTACTGGTACCAATCATTATTGTAGGACATTCATTTTGCAAACATGTTCTGGTACCAATAATTAATTATTGTAGGACATTTATGTTGGAAACATGTACTGGGACTAATCATGATTGTAGGACATTGATGTGGTAATTCTTTGCTTATCATTAAAGATTGATGAAATATTTCTTGATTTGTTGAAATGATTGAATTCTGTGATCCTCTCAATTTCTATCTAGATCTGTCTCTGTGCTACTCTGTGTGACCTTCTCTATGTAGATAGTAAAAGTAAGTAGGTCTATATTGACTATGTAAATTCTAAAAGTAGATCTATGTTGACTATGTAGATTCTAAAACTAGGTCTACATTGATTATGTAAATACTAAAAGTAGATATATAGTGACCATGTAGATACTAAAAGTA